TTTTCATCAGCTACTGATCTAAACTTTCATCAGTTAGTAATCTAATTTTCATCAGCTACTGATCTAACTTTCATCAGTTAGTAATCTAATTTTCATCAGCTAGTGATGAAATTTCAACATAATTTTTTAATGGCTATTTTAGAAATGAAAATAAAAAATAAGCCTATGGAAAAAGTCGAATCCACGTTTTATTCGCATATACGATGGCCATGAAGTATAATTAAACAATCAACCAAATAAATTGAAATGAATGGGATTGCATAGATTGCATACAGGGAGTAGTGTATCGTTAGCTATATTTTTCTTTTCATCCTCTTTTTATAGCGTTGTATTTCTTCGTTTAAATCGAAAAATGATTGTTAAAATGAAAGGATTGTGTACGGTTCAAAGAAAATATCATATCGTTAGTGGTCACCATTTCCACTACCAAAAAAAATATTTTTCTTACCTTTCCCTTCCTTCCATTAACAGAATTAGAAATAAAATTGTATTGTTGTCAACTAAATCAAATAAAACTGTCATTTATGAATTTCACTGTATTAAAAGAAAAAAAAAAAAGGAAAAAGCAGATGAATAATAATTAATAATATCTATTATAAATTAAAAATAGGAATTTGCAATCAATCCTAATATTTGCATTTCTTTTTCATGCACGCAAATACATTTGTATTGCAACATATTTGCCTTTTATGCTAATAAAATGATAAAATGACGAATTTAAAAACATTGTTAAGGCAACATCAATCCATGCTTACTTCTTTATCAGTGGGTATTGCAAAAGTAAAATAAAAAAAATTAAATAAATAAACAAATAAAATGAATGATTAAATGATAATTTGAGCACAGATAACGGTAGAAAATAATTTTAAAAGAATTTAAATTACATTTTAAAAAAATATAAATTACATAACTCATCCCTTCATAAAATTTGTGATGGATAAATTGCATATTTGCTCATGAATAAATGATCTGCGGGTGGAGAGAAAATGAAGAGAGAATTAAAATGATGAATTATATCTATTTATTAAATTCCTTTTTTCTTTTCTCTTTTTACAATTACAGATTTGCTTTATCTAACAGTTTGTGTTTTTTTCTTTTTTTTCTTTTTTTTTTTATAGTAACAGTATAATTTCCCAAGTGATGCATTCACGAAATCAAAGTTGTTGACACGAAAAGAACTTTCGGACACTTATTCTTCCGTATTCAATATTCAAATAACATTTCATATTCATATTTCTGTTTAATTTTAATTTTTCGACATCAGTGAGTGCTGCTTTATTAAGTTGACGACAGTTCTTCACGGAAACCACTAATTCTATCTCTGGTTGCTGATTTTTTTGTTCTAAAATGTTATTCTAGTGGATGAAGTATGAGTATGATGTCATATTATTACACAAACTACAAAAATTATGGTGAGAGAATTCGTGAAAGTTTGTAAAAATTAAACCAATCATATTAAAAGCTCGTTTTATTCCTTCACTTTAAATATTTAGCATAACATTTGTCTGTTATATGGAACATAAAATTTCCATCACAAAATTTCAATTTCATCTTTTTTTTTTATTTAGCCATTATTTCATACATAAAAATCAAACCCGTTGTTTTGCATTATTCAGTAATATTTTAACAAGAAGTTGATTCTAGCATAAATGATAGTTGAAAAAGTGGCCTTGATCAAAATGAATTAAATATATCAGAAATAGATCCAAGGACATGTAAACAAAAAACGAAAAAAGTGCCTTAATGTAATGCTTCCTATTCTATCATCATTATCAAATTAAAAACTTTCAAAGTTCTTTAACAGAATTAAAATAATTTCTTCAAATACCTTAAAACCCCTTATGCCTTAAAACTTATTCTTACAATTTATTCCAATATCGATTATTAATCAGAACTATTAACTATCTTCCTTCAAAGATGAAATCCCAAATTTCCAAGTAAATGAATTTAAGGACGAAATGTCGGCAGTCAAATATGACGCAATTTATCCATCACCTCTCAATAGTTATCATAAAAAAACTCAAATTCTCGTAAAATACAACACTCTGATAAAAATTTCATTTTCGATCCTTCTTCTACAACTTCCAGACCCGTTAATTAATTTCTGGATGATAAGCCATCACTGCTGTATCCATCTTATTCTCGAATTTATTTGCTTGAAAAAAATTATGATTTCTCCAATCCTATTTACAGTATTAGTTGGTGATCTCTCACTTTTTTTCCCACTTTTTTCTATTAGCAACATTTTCTTGGAATATTTTTCAAATACCAAGAATCCACAAAATTTAATGGATTAGAGAGAAATCATAATTTCTCCTTCAACAAATCTCTGTTGCTAAATTTTGCAGACATTCTTAATTTTAAGGATTTAAAATTCAATCAGTAAACACATTTTTTTTTTTTTGGTGCATGCATCGCATGTCATTTTGTAAAAGCTGCAAGATAATCACTGTAAACATAACTTACTCATTATAATTAATGAATTTCTAATGTAAACTTAGTCATCAGATTTAGAAATAAAAGCTTATTATATCCAGTTTATTTTTGTAAGAAATGCCATTTAAATATAACTTCAAATTGAAACTTCAAAAAAAGTTCATGCTTCAAATTATTTAAAAAAAATTGAATAATACTTATTAAAGATATATGAAATATTGGAATAAGCAATTATTTTGGAAGGCATTAACACTTTTCTTTAACACAGGCATTAACACTACTGTATTAATTTATTGTTTGAGAGAAAAAAAGTTTTTTTTTTGCAAATAACAAACAAAACATTTCAATTGTCGTAATATCACGAACGAGGAAAATGATGGACAAACAATTGCCGAGTAAATATGAAGTATTGGATCCCATTGACATTCTAAATTTTTTTGCAAACCAAAAATGCATTTTTTT